TGATGGAATCCAAGATGGAATCAGTGATGGAATCAGTGATGGAATCAAAAATGGAATCAAAAATGGAATCAATGATGGAATCCAAGATGGAATCAATGATGGAATCCGTGATGGAATCAGTGATGGAATCCATGATGGAATCAGTGATGGAGTCAATGATGGAATCAGTGATGGAATCCAAGATGGAATCAAAAATGGAATTAATCGTGGAATCTAAGATGGAATCAGTGATGGAATCTGTGATGGAATCAGTGATGGAATCCAAGATGGATTCCAAGATGGAATCCAAGATGGAATCAATGATGGAGTCACGGAGTCATTTGGGTTGGAAAATCCCTTGGAAAATCCCATTGGATCCAACCATTCCCAGCACTCCCAAAGTCCCCCTGCCTGACATTCCATGGGCAAGGATCCCACAATTCCCCAATCCTGGCGGGGCCTGCCCGGAAAGGACCTCCCAGCCCATCCCGAGGATCCCCGGGATCCAGGAGATCCCACGGGCACAGCCCAGGAAGTTTTCCAAGCGTTTCCATTCCCAGGATCCGTGAATTCCACCCTGGGCCGATCCCAAACCTTCAGCTCCCGGAACGGATCCCGAGGATCCACCCGGACCCGGCGAAGCTCCGACAAACGGGAGAAATTCCTGCTGGGACAATCCAGCCTGAGGGAAATCCATCCCTTCGATCCTTATCCCAAGTTTTCCCCCATCCCTCTCACTTCCAGCCGAGTCCTTCCCACGGAGCCGCGGGCTCTCCTCATTCCCAAATCCGCCAGGAGCGGATCCGGTGCCAGCAAATATTCTCACCCCTCCAAATGATCCCAATAAATGGATTTTTAGGAGCTGACGGAGCCCGGATCCCCGAGGTGACCCCGGTGGCCTCTCCTTCGATGTCCTTCCAGCAACATTCCCAACGTTCCCCTCCATTCCCGCCAAACCCAAGCCGCCGATTCCACCCAGATCCAGGATTTTTCCTCCTCTCTCCGTTTTTCTCCCACGTTTTAGGCGGGATTTTTCCACCCCGGCACGGATCGCACGCCGGGAACCTTTCCCTGCCACCCCTCCATGTGCTGAAGCTTCTCAGCTGCTTCCCACCAACGGCTTTCCACGATTTCTGCCTTTCCCAGGAGAAGTCGCAAACGCTTGACAGCTCATCCCTATTTTTAGACATTCCGACAGAATGCCGGAGCGCTCTCCAAATCCTCCAGGACCCTTCCAGGATTTCATCTCCCGCTATCCCAGGCTGCTCCAAGTGTCCGACCTGCCCTTGGACGCTTTCAGGGGCAGCCACGGATTCTCTGGGATAATTTTCACGGAGCAAATCCCAAATTCCCATGGACCCCATTGCATCCCATGCCAACCCATCCCCTGAGTTATCCATGTGTCATTCCAGGCGCTTTTCCAGCTTTTCCCGTGGGCTGGGAGCCACCAGCCCACAGCGGGTGCGCATCGTGATCCAGGATTTGGGAAGTGCTGCTGGAGCCTGGAGGGTTTGGCAAATGGGAAAAGGCTCAGGAATTAGGAATTGTCTCCCTATGGAATAATTCCGGGAGCAGAATTTCATCCAGGAGGGGACAAAGGGACACAGGGACAATTCCCACCATCCCAGGCTGCTCCAGCCTTTCCTTGGACATTCCAGGGATCCAGGGGCAGCCCCAGCTGCTCTGGCAATCCCAGCCCAGCCAGGAATTCCTCATTCCCAATCTCCCATCCCTGGCTGCCCTCTGGCAGTGGGAGCCATTCCCTGTGTCCTGTCCCTCCATCCTTGTCCCCAGTCCCTCTGCAGCTCTCCTGGAGCCCCTCCAGGCCCTGGAACGTGCTGGAAGCTCTCCCTGGATCCTTCTCTTCTCCAGGAGAACATTCCCAGTTTTTCAGAGGGAAGCTGATCCAATTCCCCGGATTTGCTCCAGGATTCCCACGTCCTCCTGGTGTTTGGAGCACCGCAGCTCCCCCTGGAATGGTTTGGGTGGGATGGGACCCAAATCCCACCCAATTCCAACCCTTGGACACTTGCCCCTATCCCAGGCTGCTCCAAGCCCTGTCCTGGCCTTGGGAATTTTTCTCCCAGGGTTTACAACCCCTGGGACTGGAGAAGGAAGAGGAGGACATCCCTGCTTCCAGCAAATCCTGGGAATCCTGATCCACCTCTCCCAGCTCAGCCATTCCTAAAACCAGTTTGGGACCAAACAATCCCAACCCGATCCAGGGAATGCTCCAGGTGTGGAAATCATGGAATATTCATCCCTAAATGCCCTCCCAGGGAGGAAATCCAATGGGAAGACTCTTCCATCCAATGGGAGAACCAAACCAAAAAGTTGGGAATTAAATCCAGGAAGTTCCCATTTGGAATGAGGGGACTTCCCTGACCAGGAGGTTCAGCCTTTCCCACCAGAACTCCGGACTCAGAATTCCGGGAAGCACCATTGGAATTCCCTGAGGAGCCACCACGGCCCTGGCTGGGGAATTGGGAATTCCTGGGCTTAAATTCCCACAATTCCCAGCTGGAATTCCAGAGCCAGCTGTGGGAGAAGCCCGGACAAATCAAACCCAACCTGAGGGACCAAATGTGATCTTGGGGAACCAAAATCCATCCAGGAGGACCAAATTCCATCCTGGAAGCACCAAATCCCATCCAGAGGATTCCAAATCCCATCCTGGAGAACCAAATCCCATCCAGGGGGACCAAATTCCATCCTGGAAGGACCAAATCCAATCTGGAGGATCCCAAATCCCATCCTGGAGAACCAAATCCCATCCAGGGGGACCAAATTCCATCCTGGAAGCACCAAATCCAATCTGGAGGATCCCAAATCCCATCCTGGAGAACCAAATCCCATCATGGGAAAGCAGATCCCATTCTGGAAACACCAAATCCCATCCTGGAGAACCAAATCCCATCCTGGGAAACCAGATCCCATTTGGAAACACCAAATCCCATCCAAGAGGTCTAAATTCCACCCTGGAAACACCAAATCCCATCCTGGAAGCATCAAACCCAATCCAGAGGATCCCAAATCCTGGAAACACCAAATCCCATTAAGGGGAAATGAATTCCATGCTGGAAACACCAAATCCCATCCTGGAGAACTAAATCCCATCTCGGAGAACCAAATCCCATCCTGGAGAACCAAATCCCATCCTGGAAAACCAAATCCCATCTCGGAGAACCAAATCCCATCCTGGAGAACCAAATCCCATCTCGGAGAACCAAATCCCATCCTGGAGAACCAAATCCCATCCTGGAGAACCAAATCCCATCCTGGAGAACCAAATNAAATCCCATCCTGGAGAACTAAATCCCATCCTGGAAAACCAAATCCCATCTCGGAGAACCAAATCCCATCCTGGAGAACCAAATCCCATCCTGGAGAACCAAATCCCATCCTGGAAGCACCAAATCCATCCCAGAGAACCAAATCCCATCCTGGAGAACCAAATCCCATCCTGGAAGCACCAAATCCATCCCAGAGAACCAGATCCCATCCTGGTCAGTCCTGGAGTGCCCAGGCATTTGGAGCAGATCCCCATCCCACAGATCCCAAAAAGTTCCAAACTCAGGGAATTCCCAAAGGATCCTCCAAGTCCTCGAAGGATCTTGGCAAACTCCGAGCTAAGAGAATTCCCAAAGGATCCACTGATTCCATGGGTCCTGGGAAGTTCCGGGCTCAGGGAATTCCCACCTGGAATATCCGACCCCCAAGCCCAGCTCGAGGCCGTTCCCTCTCCTTTCCCTTGGGATTGGCTCTTCCAGAAGATCCACAGGATGGAATAATCTTGGGAATTTTGGGAATGACCCGGTTCTCTCCAGGCAAACCAAGGAAAGCTCGTCCCATCCAGCAAAAACTTGGATTGGTTCCCATAATTTGGATTTTGGGACACATCCTCCATAAAATCATGGAATGGGTTGGGTGGGAAGGGACCTCAAAGCTCATCCCATTCCATGGTGGCATTCCATGATCCCAGGCTGCTCCGACCTGGCCCTGGATAATTCCAGGGATCCAGGGAGAGCCACGGATTCCCCGGGAATTCCCAAGGGATTGGATGTGGGGAAAGCTCAGCTCTGAGAGCTGCAGGGATCGGGATAAACGGGAATAACTCCGACCCCTGGAACAGGATGGGATGTTCCCCTTGGGAATTGGGAAGAGCCGGAACTGGGATGGGCTGGGAAGGACCCCAGGGTGGGCAGAGCCTTTTCCCTGGAAGGGCTCCCAAGGAATGGGAAAATTCCAGAGTGGAATTTGCAGCAGGAAGAGCAAATTCCTTCAGGGATCGTCCCAAAATCCGCCTCCCTCCCCCTGCCCGGGATGAAGATCCAGCCCTGCCTTTTCCAGCCCCTTTTCCCTCTTTTCCCCACAGTCCTGGAGTGGTTTTCCAGGAAAATCCAAAGGGAGCAGTGGTGACATCAATGGGGCCGATTCCCGGTCTAAAATCCATGGAATCCCAGCCTGAAATCCATGGAATACCGGGACGACGGGGCTGGGAAATGGGGGGGATTCCAAGCCACTTCCGTAACTTGGGAATGCTGCTCCAGAGGGAGCATTCCCGGATTCTGGATCTTCCAGGACAGGACCCCTCTGCATCCATGACCTCCCTGTGTCCCGCAGAATTCCTGAATCCCACGGAATTCTCAAATCCCAGAGAATTCTCAAATCCCACAGAATTCCCAAATCTCAGCCTCGGCGCACGAAGAGAAACCAGGAATGGCAGGAGATCCAGGAAGGAAAAAATAAAGGGTAAAAAAACCCCGGGAATGGGATTAAATTTCCCGGTTTTCCTGACACAAAAGCTGCAGGATTGATCCTGGAAAAAACCCCATGGATGCCGTTTTGGGCCCTGAAGTTTCACTTGGTGCTCCAGGGATTGGAGATCCATAGGGAACCAAAATTCCCACTGGGATGCAAACCTTGGGAGAAGGGACAGAACGATGGAAATCCAGGAATTCTCCTGGAAAATCCCATTCCAGCCTGGATCTGCAGCTCTTCCCAGCTTTCCTCCCACGTGGAAAACGGCTCTGCTGTCCCTCTGCTCCTGGGAATGCTGGGGGTGGAGAGGTCTCTCCATCCCGAGCTTTTCCCGCCTCCTCTTCCCTAAATCCATAGGAACATTCCCAAGTCTGCAAGGGATTCTCTTTTTCTGCAGCAAAAAGGTGGAATTCTGGCCAGAGGAGCCATGGGAAGCTCCCAGGAAAGATCCCAGCCCTGGGAGAACCCCGGGATGAGCCGGGAATGAGCTCTGGGGTTGGAAGAGCAGGAAAAGCTCTCCCGGTTTTCCCCAGGGATCCCAAAAGTCCCCAGGACTCCCTGGCCAAAATCCCAGGAAAAGCTCCGAGCACTCCAACCCCAAAAAGCCACGGATGGAGCTGGGCAGGGGCTTTTCATTCCCACAGGGAAAAGGAGTCCAAATTCCCAAAAATTCCAAGCAGCATCCCCACCAAAACCCCCAGGAAGTGGGAGAGGGAAAGACGGAATGGGGGACAAAAATCCCTGTGGAGTCCCCCAGGATTGTTGGGAATGGGGCTCTGGAGCTGAGCAGGGGCCATTCATCCCTCCGGGAAGCAAAGTGGCAATTCCCAAAAATTCCAAGCAGCATCCAGAGCAAAATGCCCCCAAATTCCGAGAGAGCCGCGATGGCAGCAGGACACGGCACAGAACCGGAGAAATCCAGGGAGGAAAATCCCCTTGGAGCCCCCCAGGATTATTGGGAATGAGGATCCCGAGCCGTTCGTTCTCCCAGGGAAAAGCAGCAACAATTCCCAAAAATTCCAAGGCACCTCCAGCACCAAAATCCCCTAAACCCCAATCCACGACACCGAACAAGCCAGGGAGGAAAATCCCTTTGGAACCTGGGAATGAGAATCCCGGGAATGAG